TCGCTTCCTGTGTGACCTGGCAGCTGACTTAGGTATGAGGGGTGAAAGAGATGTCTCAGGGAAGCCTTAAATTAGTCCCAGTATACAGTAAGTGCTTGATAAATGCTACCTATGGCTTATTTTTATTACCACCACCGCCTCTGGGTTAGCCTGCTCAGGCTGCTGTAACCAAAGACCACAGACTGCATGACATAAACAACAGAAACAAATCTCCTCATAGTTCTGGAAGCTGGAAGCTCAAGATCTAGGTGTTGTCAGGGCTGGTTTCTCCTGAGGCCCCTCTCCTTGGCTTATAGATCACCACCTTCCGGCTGTGTCCTCACATGGCCCTCCCTCTATGTACGTTCATCTCTCTCTGTATGTCCAAATTTCCTCTTTGTATAAGGACACCAGTCAGACTGGATTAGGGCCCACCAAACAGGTTCACTTTAACTTTATTACCTCGTTATTTTTATTTTTATATTTTTTAAGATTTTATTTATTTGACAGACAGATAGAGAGAGCCAGAGAGCACAAGCAGGCGGGGGTTGGGGGGGGGGTGGAATGGCAGAGGGAGAGGGAGAAGCAGGCTCCCCACTGAGCAGGGAGCCCGACGCAGGACTCGACTCCAGGACCCCAGGACCATGACCTGAGCTGAAGGCAGATGCTTAACCAACTGAGCCACCCAGGCGCCCCTCATCACCTCTTTAAAGGCCCAACCTCCAAATGCAGTCACATTCAAATACACCGGGAGCAGGTTCTGAACATACGAAGCTGGGGGGCACACAATTCAGCCACCACCACCCCCATCATCACCCCAAAAAGATCCTTGCCCAGTGTCTCGGAGTTTTGGGAGATGTTCTCCTGTGAAGGAGCAATGCAGTTAACATTTAGAGACATGTGCTTCTAAAATGATTTAAATAGTTGAATTGTGGGTGCTTAAGTTATCTGGAAAGCTGGGATCCTGGACACATGAAGGGCTGTGGTGGTTACAGGGTTACTGGGTATCCTCCCCGGCCTTGCTCCCCCAGCTCACTGCACAGGGATTTCTTTGAAAACCTCCACACACAGGATCCAAGGTTGGTTTCTTGGAGGAAAGAAAACGTGGTGTCTCACGTTCTCCTCCCAGCGGCCAGGGCCAGCGCCCGGGGAGGAGGGCACAGGCCTGCAGGCCGGCCCAGCAGGCCGAAGAAGGTAGCGCACTTAGTGGGAAATGCAAATCAATTCCACTCAGCCTCCAACCCTGAACTCTGAAAAGGGAAGTAGAACCACGGCACAACTTAAAATAAAGAAGTGAGTGGCTTATAATGACTCTGAGGCTTCCAGGAAAAAGCCATTCTGAGAGTAAATAACAAAGAAGTCAAAGAAAACTGAGAAAACACAGTCGGGTGTGACCGCCCAAAAAACGAGGAGAGGCCAGTTTCCAGGGAAACCGGAGAGACCGCAGAGATGGCCCAATTTATATGTCCCCCTCAGGAGCTCCTGCAGTCAGGAGGCCCTCGGTGCAGCTCCTTCCCTGGGACCTGAACACAGAGATGAAGGGCCAGTGTCCTTCAGCAGCATCGGGATTTGACCCGTCTGCTCGGGTCGCGGCCAGAGTCATCTTGATGATAACGCCCGTGAGGAGGGTGACAGCGCCACTTACCGAGGGCCCGCCATGACACATGCACTTGACATATTCTCTCAGTATTTCCAAAATGAACTTAGGGGGTCTCGGCCAAAACCTTTAATAGATTCGGACAGAAGTATCAGTGAGTCACGTCTTGGGGACGTGTGTATATTACATGTGCGCTCGTGTGCACAGAGTCTAAACGAAATGCCTATTTCACACTGTATGTCACAGTCAAAATGTTTGAAAGCCTCCGTGTGCTGTTACCATCCCCACCTTACAGAGGAGGAAATGGATGTGCCCAATGTTTAATAGTCTAAGGTCACAGAGCTTATGACAAGAACCCCCACAGCCCGGGGCCCTTGGTGCCCATGTCGCTTCCATGCCCTCAAAGATTTCCCACAGCTCTCAGAATAAATCCCCGAACCCCATCCTCATACCCTCACCTCCTTCTTGCCACTCTGTACCCCAGCTCATTGGTCTTCCTTAATTTCCTCCAACACTACCTGTTCTTCCCTGCCTCAGGACCTTCGCATACACTATGCCCTCTGTGTGAAATATTCCCATCCACTTCTCCAGGTTCAAACCCACAGACCCTTTATCACCTGTCTTTCACTTGCTCAGAGACCTCTCTTTCCCCTCACTCCTGATTAGGTCACATGACCCCAAAGAACACCCTCCTCACCCCCTTTGTTGTCTTGTCACTCAATAAATGCCTACGGAGTTAGTTATTGTTTTGTGAGGTCCGTAATGACAAGGACTATGTCTGTCTTGTTCCCAGGTGCTTAGTACAGTGCAGGAATTCTGCAGGCACTGGAGGAAGGAGCAAATGAACCAGCCACATGAGAAGCATTACTTCCAGGAGACAAGGGAACTGTGCGTAGCTGTCAGCTGAGAATACCATCACCCCAAATTACACAAGGCTTTACCACATGAAATAACCTGGTATTGAAATCTAAGAAATCTGGATTCGAATCCAACCTCTGCATTTGATTAGCTGGGTGACCTGAGTTGATGACTCAGTTTCCTCATCTTCAGGGGCACCTGGGTGGCTCAGTCGGTTAAGCGTCTGCCTTCGGCTCAGGTCATGATCCCAGGGTCCTGGGATTGAGCCCCGCATCAGGCTCCCTGCACCTCGGGAAGCCTGCTTCTCCCTTTCCCCCTGCCCTTCCCCCCAGCTTGTGTGCTCTCTCTCTCTCAAATAAATGAATAAAATCTTAAAAAAAACAACAACAACAAAGCTTCCTCAGCTTCAAAAGAGTGGCGTACGCTTCTCCATGAGATAACTGAGATCTTAGCTTTGGCCCATCCAAGGGCCCCCCCCCAAATTAAAGCTCGTGTTAATATTTTCATAACTCTGTGTTCTTCACAAAACCATCGCAGGTTCCAAGAGATGACCTATGACCAGGGTTTGGGGCGGCAGGTACTCTCACACATCGCTGGAAGGAGAGCAGTGTGGGGCAGCTGCTAGGAACAGAAATTTGACAAGGGCTGTGCTCTCTGACCTAGCAATTCTACTTCCAGAAATTTTACTCTAGGCATGTCAAGGGACTTACATAACCAGGGTTTTTACCACCGCCTTCTTCACGACAGCAGCTGATTGGAAATAACCTAGATGCCCAGCAACAGAGGATTGGCTATGGAAACTTGGGTGTCCCACATGCTAGAATCCTATGCAGCTCCAAGAATGAACGGGAAAACTCTTAAGTACTGACTGGTGTGCCCTCCCATCCGAATGAAAGTGTGCTAAACATGGAATCGTGTGTGTGTTATGCTACCATCTAAGTAAAAGAAGATGAAAAGAGCATGTACATATTCCATTGCACTGCATAAAGTACCTCTGGAAGGACAAACCAGAAATTGAGAACACCTGTTTCCCCCAAAGAAAAGGGCTGAGTGACAGGGACACGGTAGGGAAGACTTTTCTCTGCAAACTTGTTTGCACCTTTGAATTTTGAAACATGAAAATGTACGACATATTCAAATAAATAAGTAAAAACAACAGTGAGGCCTCCCTCACCCCCACAAAAGAAAGGCAAAAACATAAAGGTTATTGATTTGTTCAAAGTCACTCAGCTGCTTGGAAGAAGTGAGGTTTCGAACTTGGCTTCTGATCCCAAACAAGTGATCAATTATAGTTCATTCATTTGTTCATTCGACACAAATTTATTTCTTCAGCACTTATTCTACAAGAGGAGCTGCCTTGTACAGGGACACACAGGCCAGAAAAACAAGCCCTGGGGAAAAAAAAGAAAACGAAAGGAAGACCGATTTCTTTCCCTTTTTGCACCACACGTCGCATACTTGCCACTCTTTGTAGAACCTCACCAAGAGTGGGCAGGACCTGCCTGGGCTATAGGAGGCAGTCACTCCTTAATCCCATCTCGTTTTTGCCACCTCAGGACACAAGCTCAGTTTTGCCAGATCCGAATTTTCCAAGAGATGCCAAAAATCCAGGTTTTTTCAAACGCGAAATCGTGTGATTTATAAATGTTGGCCACGAATTCACCAAGTTGACTCGCACTTTAGGGGCCCAACTAGAGGTTTGGGACCTTTCTTTTATCCCATCACAGCTAGGATCACCAGCCTTCTCTCACCCTTCCCTGGGGCCTCCATCAGGTGTGACGTAAGCCCCCACAAACCAGCCACCGTGGGCTTGAGCAAGTCACTTCCCTTCCTGAGGTCTGTTGGCTTATCAGTTGATGAAGAGTCCGGCCTAGCTGGTGGCCATGAGCCCCTCAGCATCGCCAGCTCTCCGTTCAGCCCCTACCCTGACTGCCCTACAGACCTGAGCACCTCTGAGAGAGGAGGCAGCAGATGACCCCCAACATGGCACAAACCCAGAACTAGCCACCACCTACCACATCATCTAGCTGACCAGCCTCTTAACTATCAGCTGTCTTATCTCAGTCCTACCCCATCACTGACTCTGCACTGGAACCGCGAGCTCCCCTTCGTATTACAGACCCACGCACGCACACTCTTCCGATGGGACAAGCCAGCAGCATGTGGGGGATCTCGAAAAGAAACCCACAGCAAACAGGACACACCAAACCGACCCAGGAAACTAGATCTGACCCCCACACACCCCACCCCAGCCCAGCCCACTAGATGGAAACCAAGCCAGAAGTGGGTATTCAAGAGTGCCGAGACCATTCTGCAAATCCCCTACCATGACTATTTTACTCTATTTATCACTGAAAAGAATATACTAGCTTTCATCAGGGGCCGGCCAAGATAATCAGGATGGTGCCACACCTCTGTCTGCATCTAGCATCTCAGGTCATCTCCACTCAAAACTAACAAGGCAGGTTTAATCTTCCCATGTTGCCGATGAAGAAACTGACGGACAGGGATTAATTTATCCAAAGTCAGAAGATTAGTTAAGAGGGACCTGAGCAACAGATCCTACCTGATTCCAGGGCCTGAGCTCCTAACCGCTGTGGTTTAAGCAACACTCACGTCTGCCACACGCAGAGGTGAGAGGTGACCACCACCCATGGCTTCCCTTCATGCACACCATCGACAGCTTCTTGCCTGGCCTGGGCAGCAAGCGCACTCTGTCTCTCACAGGAAGGAGGCTTTGTTTTCTCAGGGCCCTTACCAGCTTGTGAGGTCATCGCGTTTGTTTACTTGTTCACTGACGAGCCCCGATGGCATGTTAAGTTCCTCAAAGTCTGAGACCTGACCTGTCTCGTCCCCTGCCGTGTCCTGCTGTGAGCACGGCACTGGGCACGTACGAGGTAAACATCTCTGAATGATGGAATGACGCATGGACTTCCAGGCCACCGGCAGAGCAACCTTCCCGTTATTGAGGGACCAGAAAAGTTCTCCCCGGATGACTGAACTGGGATCCGTCCGCCTAAGTATGACTGTCCACGGAAACGTGGACCGTGGCCGTGTGGACCAGGAATCCTGGGTCTATGTGCGGGTGTGTGGAGCCTACAGATGGGGCCCAGGAGAGATGCCTGCTGCAGAGCCACGCCTTTGTTTTGATTAAGGACCAAACTTCGCAACTCTTAGGAGACAAAAGCCAGCCGAGGGATAGACACTGCCACAAACAAGAAAATGTGAAGGGTCAAGTTCGGACTATGGAAAAGGCTCCACGGGAAGAATGAGAGAACTTTCTCATTGCTCCACTGGAAACCGATGCAGACAGAAGAGTCTCGAGAATGTGAATTTAGGCAACAGTAAATATTAGCGCAAACAGGATGCAAGCTCAAGTGCTTATCTCTGCTTAGCCAGGCTTTCTCAATGCCCAGAGGACTCAAAGCACTGACGATTCGGATCCAGCTAGCAGTAATTATTTCATCAGACTATCGCCCTCACCCTGGCCCGCCAACTACTGTATAATCACCAGAAAAAATCCCCTCCTTTGGTACAAGTCAAGCAAACCTGGGGAATAACCACACATCTTATTTACTCATCTGTGAGCCCCACTTGAAGGATCGAGTTGCTTGGAGTGCAAATTGTGAAGGTGCAGCCCATAAATGCCATCCAGAGTGATTCTGAGGGGCCTACCAGATGATAAACCGGAACGTCTAGACAGAAGCGGTCGCTGAGGCTGACCATTACGTGAGCAATTACACTTCTGATATGTACCATCTAAAACCCTGGTGGATGACACAGCGGTCCCAAGCTACTGTCTGGCAGACAGTAAGAATTTTCAGGGTGGGGAAATGTGCTCCAGATTAACTTGTGCTATTTGTTAAAAATGAGCTTCACCCTCCCACTGCAAGAACAGGGTGACATGATTTTTCATGAGAAAATGGAATCAAGGGAAAGGAAACTTCTCCGTGTCCTACTGTAGCCAAGTATAGGGAGCACTGAATAAAGACTCAGAAAACTAAAGAGGCTCCTGGGATCTCATCACTTCACAGAGGTCATGGGGTTACTTCAAGGTCATTCAACAACCAAACGTTAAGAGGTCCAGCATGTGCCAGGATCTGAGAAGAGGAAGCATAGAGGGTAAGGAAGAATAAATTCCCTGCTTCCATGGGGCTCAGGGTCTTGCCAGAAACATTCAGAAGTCATGTTATAAATGCACGTTGACAACTATAATTGAAGACGCGCAGTGGAGACAAGATTGAGGAGGAAGGGTAAATCACCTCTAGTTATAAGGCAAAGCTATTAAGGAACACCTGGGTGGCTCAGTCAGTTAAGCTCAGATCATGATCCCAGGACCCTGGGATCGAGTCCCTTGCTCAGCGGGGAGCCTGCTTCTCCCTCTGCTTCTGCTGCTCCTCCTGCTTGTGCTCTTTCTCTCTGACAAATAAATTAAAAATCTTAAAAAAAAAAAAAAAGGCAAAGCTATTAAGAGACCAAGTGAAAAATACAGGTTCTCCATTTTCTTGCCAGTTACTCTAAAGAACATGGACGCTGGAGCCTAGAAAGGAAATGCGGGGAAGGAAACAAGCTTTCATAGGTAAGCCTTTCAGAAGCTTGAGTATCCTTTTTTCATTTGTGATGGACAAGGAAAGGATAAAAAAATCATATTTCAACAAATATTTCGGGAGCACCTACTAACCTGAACACAAAGATGAGCCAAATGTAGTCCTACCAGTAGCAAAGAAACAAGAAGAGAGAGAGAAGAAGAATTTGATCATGATTAAAGACAAAGACAAGAAGGCCTGAATCCGGGATGGCAAACTCAATTCTCATCGGGGCCGAGGCAGGGAACACCACGGTGTTAGAGAATCCAGTCTTTTTGTTATTGTTTTTTTTTTTTTTTTTTAAAGCTGGGAACCTGAAGTTTAGATATCAAGTCTCCTAATTTTTATATTTTAAACAGCGGTGGACCAATCCCATTATTTTGTAGTTAGGAAAACTGAGGCCCAGAGCAACGGAGCAACTTGCCCACGGTCATACAGCTCGCCCACGGCAGAGTTGAGATCAGATTCCAGATCTCAATTCCTTGACCCGTGTTGTCTCCAAGATGCCCGTAAGGACCAACGCAGGGACTCTTTCAACAGCTCCCCTCTCTGCAAAGTTGATACCAACACCTTTCGGGGTGTCTTGAAAGTAATCAATTGTCCTGTTGGTCAAGAATTTTTTAAAACTTTTCTCAGAACACTACAAAGGATTACTTTGTTTGCCCCCCAATTTTGCCTCCAGATACTTTACAGTGAAAGGGGTCACACAGCTCCACAGTGGGGGACCCGGCAGCTGGCACGCTGCAGCAGAATTCCCCGAAATGACGACGCCAGTTGACGTGATGTCCCCCAAAGACATCTGGAGAACGACAGTGAACTAGTTCCAAAGGAGTATGTGGAATGAGACAGCAAGCATTAATGGGTTTCCACTGAGGATTTATGCAGCTGAGGTCACGAGCAGGTTGTAACAGGGTCTGACGCAGCTCAGTTCAGAATAATACACACACACACACACACACAGCAGGTTGTAACAGGGTCTGACGCAGCTCAG